TTTCTCCATAAGCCGTGTTCTTCTTTGCAGGATTTTGCAACCCACAGTAATTTTTAGAACTGCATACTTTGCACTACAGCAGAATTGATGTATTTGTAGGCATGTCAGGGTGGTTGGACAGACGGACATGCAGGGGTGCACAAGTGGGCAGTGAATTCCCAGGAGCTTTCAGAGAACCCTGTAGCCAGTCATCACCGCGAGGCTTTTGCAACCTCACGATTCCTGATGCTGTGGAGACCGGTGACCCATCTGGAAAAGACACTGGAGTGAACCCCAGAAAACCCAATTATTACTTTAACTATCAAGAGCACAGAAAATCCAGGGGCCAAAACAAGCTCAAAGGTTAATGATAAAAAAAAAAAAAAAAAAGACAGATGACTTTTAGGTCCATGAACAAAACTAACGGAATTTGAAGTGCAAGAAATCTCATTTCACCATGAACACAAAATGAAAGGCCAGTCGAACACGGCGTCCCCTGTTTCAGGGCCTGCCATCCCTGGAGGAACCTGGCCTGCAGCCCTGCCCCACCCCTCCAGATGGCTGGGCCTGGGTTGCAGACGTCCAGCTGCTGCACTGCCTGACAGGCCTGGAGAAGCCCTGAGAGTGACAAGAGGAGGCCCCGCAGGCCAGGCCAGGCCGTCTCCCTCCTGGGTTCACAGCAGATCCTCTGTGCCGAGTCTGACGTATCTCACCAGCTCTCCCCAGCAATTCAGCAAGGCAATTACCATTTATTCCCATTTTATAAATAAGGAAACTGCAGCTAAGAGAGGTTAAAAACTTGCTCCCACAGATCCTGCTGATCCCACTGACTCAGGAGGAGGCTGAGGCAGGGAGATCGCAAGTTCAAGATCAGCCTTGGCAACTTAGCAAGACCCTGATTCAAAATCCAAAATAAAAAGTTCTGGGGTCCGGCACGGTGTCACACACCTGTAATCCCAGCAGCTCAGGAGGCTGAGACAGGAGGATTGCGAGTTCAAAGCCAGCCTCAGCAAAAAACAAGGCGTGAAACAACTCAGGGAGACCCTGTCTCTAAGTCAAACGCAAGCAAATAGGGGTGGGGATGTGGCTCAGTGGTTGAGTGCCCCCGAGTTCAATTCCTGCTACCCACCCCTCCGCTCCCCAAAAGAGTGGAGATTGGACAGTCAATTAGGAGGAAGCTGAGGTAGGGAGATCGCTACCACTGTAACTCAGTGGTAGAGTGCTCCTGGGGTCAATATCCAGTACCTAAAAGAAAAAAAAAGAAAGAAAGAAAGACAGAAAACAGTCCCAGATTGCACATGGGATCCAAGGTCCATGTTATGCCTGAGTGCAATCTTAACCAGTATCCTTCATTCTGCCTGTTTGAGACCAGCTGTGGGGTTTGATAATGAACATGTATTAAGCTCCTGTTGCATACCAGGACTGGTCTAAGTAGTAGCATGATGTGGCACTTCATAATTCAGCCAGCTCTAAGTGTGCCTCTGCTAATGAGCCCTGTAAGAAGACAATCTGGAAACATTCACAACTGATAAGAGCATAGGCTCCAGCCTCCTAAATGACTGTCCCCTCTCCACGGGGTCGTGCCATCTTGTTGACAGATAAGAGCACTAAAATGCAGTGACCACAGCAACTTGTCAGAGCTCCAGGTCTGACTTAGCAGCCTTTTTTCCTGCTCCAGGGGAGACCCAAGGTGGAGGGGGTCTCCAGAGCCGCCAGCCCTTCGGCCAGCAGGAAGCGGCCACACTGACCTCCTCCTCCAGCCCGTGGAGGACGCGCTGGCTCAGGGTTTCCAGGGCATTAGCCTGGTTCCCTGGCAGCCGGCGAGGCGCCCTGGGATGGGAAATCAGGCAGCCGCCCAGATATTAGAAACAATTACCACTAATTACCAGGCCTGCCAGTTCCCCATTGTCTGCTCACACCCCACCAGGAACCGAGGAGCAGGCAATGACGACGGTGGAGGAAACTTTCAATTTCGGGCTGTGGAAGGCCTCTCTGTCTGAGCGGCTGGGCTCCTTCCACGCCTCGGAGCCCAGTGGCCCAGCCATTTCTTTGGCTTTTAGAGTCCACCCACCTTACAAGACAGCCTGTGCCCCTCAGAGGGCTGAGAGGGTGGGGCGGAGAGCCCCAGGGCCTGGAGGGAAGGCCTTGTCGCCCCAGCTCTGCTGTTGGCCTGGTGATGTTAACTCAGGGCCTTGGGTTTTACCAGAGTATTACCGAGTGCGTATTCCAGTCCCCAGGTGTTTAAGTGGCGTTATTTTTTTAGATGCTGGATTAATTAGAAATACAGCATTGTAAAGTCGTCCGGATGGCAGCCACAGAAGCCCGACGGCCTGGGCTCCAGAACTGCTCAGCGTCTGTCTTGGTTTGGTTTCTCTCAGAAGCAGACCCAGACTCAAAGATGAAAGTGAAAGGATTGCTTTGTGAGGTGTTCCCTGCAGTCCCCAGCAGCCGGGCAGCATGAGGAAGGAGATGGGAGGAGAAGGAGCCAGTGCAGGAGGGTTACTCAGCCTTTGACCACCGGGGGCGGTGGACGCAGGACGAAGGGAGACCCTGTTGGATGTGGGACCCAGTCATCCCCGCGGCACGCCACTCCCAGTTTGTCACTGGTTGGGGCTGTTTCTGGGGAGCTTCCAGCCTGCCCTGCGCTCAGGTGGAAAGTGCTGTCACAGCCGAAATGGAGCCCTCAGACTGTGTGGTCTGTGTGAGCGTGCCGAGAGAGGGCAGGAGGGTGGGCAGGTTTCCGACCTCTCCCGCCAATCTGTGTCATGAGCCCAGGCAGAGTAGCAGCCTGGGGCTGAAAGGCAGAAGCAGTGAAAACCTGTAGGAGCCCTGAGATGCCGGGTGACTCTGTAAGCTCTGGACTTTGCTATTTTGACTCTCAGTATGGAGTCTCCATTTTTCTGGTGTTTGTGGAAAGTCAATCTGACTTGGTTCAGATTTCCCCGAGGCTTGTGCTTATGTGGAAGTTTACGTAGAAAGGCTCTGTGTAAATTGCTAAAAGAGGCCTTGGGGTAACGTTCAAAGTACAACCAGCCCTTTGTACCCAGGGGTTCTGCATCTGTAGATCCAACCAACCTCAGATCAATAATATCTGAAAAAAAAATTTCCCCAAAGTTCCCAGAGTCAAAACGTGGACCTGCCGCACGCCAAGCACCGTGCTGGACTCACACGAGGGAGTTGGGGAGGCTCCCACTGCAGCCCCTTCTCAGAGCTCTGAGCGCCTTGCCGGGCTTCGGGTCTCCATTGTTGACAACTGTACTGAACAGGTACAGATGTTTTCCTTTCTCGTCATTATTCCCCACATACTGTAAGGTGTAACCGTCATTTAAATAGCATTTCCACTGTGCTAGGTGTCTGAGTAATTGAGACATGATCAGATTAAAATATACGTGAGGATCAGGTACAAATCCTACACCGTTTAAATCCGGGACTCGCGCACTGTGGGTTTTGGTCTCTGAGGTCCTGGAACCCATCCCTGGGGATACGGAGGGACGGCTCAAGTAGAGACCTCAGGACAGACCCTGATGGACTGTTCAGCATTGCAGCCAGCACCCACACACTGGAATTTTCTTGTCCTCTCCCCCCACCAACATTTACTGCCATCTGACATACTACATAATTTAGGGATAATATATATATTTTTTTATGTGTCTTCCTCCACTAGGATCTAAGCACTCAAGGGCAGGATCACTGACTTGTTCCCTGACCCATTCTGTATCCAGAACGGTGCCTGGAAGTAGTGTGTGCTCCATAAACACTTGTCGAATGAATGAATGAGTGACAGGGACACTGGCTGTAGTTCCAAGTGTGCCAGGGAATTGTGCTTAGCTGGGTCATGCTGGCTGTCATCACTGAGCTGCAGGGACCGTGGAGGCAGAGTGGGAGGTCCTCAGACACCACCCGTCATTCTGGTCATTTTGAACCTTGCCCGACTTTCTTCATCTCTCTGGCTGGTTTGGGGCAGGACAGCCTGGTTTGGTACCTGTTCTTCTGTTTCTTGGGACCGAAAAGCCAAGAACCTCTCTTGATCTCTGTACCCTAAGGGCTGCCCTCCTCTGAGGCAGTGGACATCAGACAATCTGCTGCTGCCTCTGTGGGGGACAGGGGGAGTGGGAATTGTGACAGTGGAAAGCACTCGGGCTACAATGTCAAGTTACCATCCTGCATTGACCTGATGGCTGCTTACTCAAAACCAGAACCTGCTGGCCAACTGGGGTGCCTCACAGTGTTGAGGGACGTGGGCAGCCAGGATGGGGACTGGTAGAGTCTGCAGGTGCTTTGCAGGGGGACAGGCCATCCCATGGCTCAGCTCCATGAAGCTCCATTCCTATGTCTGAGGCCCACATCTGGTGGGGAAAGAGAGCTCTTGCTCTCAAATTCATACAAAGCTCCCAGGCAGATTCTTGTTGACTGAATTAGGCCACAGGCCTGATTCTCTGTGCCAGCTGGCCAAGGAGAAGGAATGACCTGATTGGCCAGGCTGAGTTGCCGGCTCAGCCACTGCAGTCACATGCCATGGAGAGGGGTCCCCAAAGGAAATTTGAGATCTTATTACCAAAGGAAGGGGAAGTGGATTTTGGTAGCCAGGCAGCAGCCACAGCAGCTCACCTTGAGGTCCGAAGCTGCTGTCGGGACACCTCAAACTTTGGTGTGTAAAGTGGTCGTCGGGGACTCAGGCTAAACTGCAGATTCTGGTTCCACAGAGGGGGAGGGGGTGGAGTCAGGTGCAGTGTGATCCGTTAGCTCCAGGGGATGTGATGCTGCTGGCTCCGGACCACCCTTGGAGGATCAAGGCCTCAGAGAACAGGAGCCTGGCCTGGAACAAACCATCTCCTGTGGTTCTCACAGCCCGAGAGGTCAGTGTCCGCTTAGCCATTCCCTGGAGGCTCAGCGAGGAGAGTCTGGGTGATGGATGTGGACGCCAATCCGCAGGGAAAGGGGAACGTTCTGGAGCTACCTGCCCCAGTTCCGGAGTTCTGTCTCACCCTGGGAACATTCATGTTCACCTCTTCTCCTTGCAGCCTTAACTACGGGGGAGTTTGTCTGGCATCGGATGCCCAGTTCAGTGACTTCCTGGGCAGCATGGGGCCAGCGCAGTTTGTGGGCCGCCAGACCCTGGCCACCACACCCATGGGTAAGTCCCCAGACACCTGCTACCTGTGGACGGGGATGGGGAGTCCCAACGGAAGTCCTGCGTCTCCCCTTCCCCTCTGGAGCCTGCTCTGGGTACCCAACCTGGAGCCTGCTCTGCCTGGTCACGCCCTGGCAGAGCCTGGACCCTGGCATGGGGTTGACGCTGGTCTTATTCGGGCTGGAGCAGGGGAAGGGGCTTTCATCCCTAAGCAGAGAGGAGCCGCTGGGTCCTTGCCGAGTTCCCATTTCTCAGTGTCATCTCCTGGGGCCTCCTGCAGGTGACGTGGAGATCGGCTTACAGGAGCGGAATGGTCAGCTGGAAGTGGACATCATCCAGGCTCGGGGACTGACAGCCAAACCAGGCTCCAAGACACTGCCAGGTGTGGGGCCAGCTCCTCTCTGCAAGCCGTGGGTGGAGGTCTGAGAGGGTCTAGAAGAAAGAGACTGGGGCCCAATCATGGGAGGCTCCTCTGTCCCAAAGCTGGTGGCTTACGTGGAGCTGGTGGTTTAGTGTTGGCCCCAGGGACCCAGTGGAGATTGTGGGTCAGCCTTGTCTGTCCGGCCGCTGCAGTGAGCTCCGGGAGGCGCACGTGTTTCCGGTCTGTAGCTGTACCCCGTGACTAGCAGGGGACTCAACACGTGCCTCGTCAGCTTGTTGAGTGAGTGGGTCAGCAATGAATGTGAAGGGGGGGTGGGCAGGTCGTGGGCTGAGAGGACAGGGGAGTGCAGAGCAGGGGAGGGGAAGGCCTGAGGAGAGGGGGCCGCCCAGTGCTAGCTGCACCCACCACCCACCATGCCCCACTTGCTCCTGGGCCTCCTCCCAGACCCCCTGGGGCCACTCTCTGGGCAGTGGGTGGGCGGCACCCCTTTGCCCACCCCATGAGGGGCCAGCCTAGAACTTCCCCCACTGGCCTCTGTCCCCAGCGGCCTACATCAAGGCCTACCTGCTAGAGAACGGGGTCTGCATCGCTAAGAAGAAGACCAAAGTCGCTCGCAAGTCGCTAGACCCGCTGTACAACCAGGTGCTGCTGTTTCCTGAGAGTCCCCAGGGCAAAGTTCTGCAGGTGAGGCTCCGTTTGGGTATGTGTGTGCGTGTACTCGAGGGTGTGGCACCCGAGTCTGGGCATCGTGCCTCTGGAGGCGCCCCCTGGAAGGAGCTGAGCCCCGGGGCTGATCCATGCCCACAGTGTACCTGCCCCTGCCGGAGCAGCCTTCTGAGTCTGGCGGACCACAGAGGTTTGGCCCCACCCTGGCGGTTACTGAGACGAGCTGAAGAGTGCCCATCGTGGGGCAGGCAGGGCCTGGTTAATGCCCACAGGACCCTCTCTCTGCCTGGCTCTCTGTGCCACCTGGGCATCCCTGCCTGCATCTCATTTCTTGCATCCGGCCCAGACAGGCAAAGCAACAGGGGCCAGATAGGAGGACTTTGGCAAAACCAGAAGCCCAGGTCCTATGGAGGGCAGGGTTTTCCACCACGGGGGCTGAGACCCGTGAGTGAGTTGTGAGTCAGTTCTAGCAGGTCTCAAGGAATAATATTTTAAAAAATGGAATGGGGGTAAGAAGGAAAGCCTCCTTCGCTCTTAGTAAGGTCACCGTATCTGGTGGCACCTTCCTCAACTGTATGTGCCAGGTGACACTGGGTGGTGGGGCAGTACCTTCCTTGCCTCAGGTCACTGTCAGAAATGTCTGGAAAACACAGCTGGCCCAGGGGTGTTCAAATAGCATTTGAAACAGCCTGAAGACCACCTCAGGATCCCCCCTGGCCTGCTGGACAAAGGTCTGTGTGTTCTGGTCCTCAGGGCACGTCCCTTCTGGGATGTGGAGGGAGTGGGGAAGCAGAAAGCCGACATGGGTCCTTGCTGGTGGATGACCCGACAAATGTCACAGTGGGACAGACTCACCATTAGTGATGCCCCTGGTCTCTCTCCATGTGTCCAAAGGCACCTGTCGGATTAGATGGGGGCCCACCCTCTTTTTAACTTAACTTGATGCCCCTGATGACCTAGCACAGTCCCAGTCTTAGGAGGTGGAGCTTAGAGCTTCAGTGTATAAGTGGTGGGGACACGGTCAGTCCTTAGCACCAGTGAAGACCAATCTATCCACGCACCGGAAGTGGGCTCCCCATCAGCTCTCCGAGGAGCAAGCTCAGGAGAAGGATTTCACTCTGGGCCTCCATTAGACAAGGGTGATACTGGACTGTTTTGCGTAGGGTTGGGGGAGGTGGAGCCCACAGCCTGTTGAGACACATGGCCACGAAGCCAGCCCTCGTTTGACCGTGACCCTGTGTGTGGACCTCAGGTTCTTGTTTGGAGCCCGTGAGTTGCCGGGCAGGCTTCAGACCCGTGTCTCTCGCCCTGCAGGTGATCGTGTGGGGGAACTACGGGCGAATGGAGCGGAAGCAGTTCATGGGTGTGGCCCGCGTGCTGCTGGAGGAGCTGGACTTGACCACCCTGGCCGTGGGCTGGTACAAGCTCTTCCCCACCTCCTCCATGGTGGACCCAGCCACAGGCCCCCTGCTCCGGCAGGCATCCCAGTTGTCCCTTGAGAGCACCGTGGGGCCCTGTGGTGAGCGATCTTAGTGCCGGGGATGGGGAGGGGCTCCCCGAGATGGCTGGAGACCACCCAGCCCTGACCTGGGACCCCAGGCCCAGGGGCACATTGAACAGAGGAGGATGGGGTTCTCCCCCACAGCGGGGGAAGCAGAATGGGGAGACCTGCCCCCCTCGGGCCCCTCCTCACCTTTCTTTGCCTCCTCCCCAAGACCTTCCCTCTCCCAGCGGGCTGGCGCACTTTGACTTGGCTGGCCTTGACCTGGTGGATGTGGCTGCAGTCGGAAGAAGACGGAGGTGGCAGAGCAAACCCCCCACCTGCCCAAACACTGTCCCACCTCTTCCCCTTTTGCCTCCTCGGAAGCTGCTGCCCAGAGCCAAGTCGAGGACCCAGCCGGCCATCTCCATGGTGCCAATTACCAGCAAGTGTCTTTCCTGCGGCACCGGGTTCAGGCAGGACACCTGCCCCAGAGCCGACCGGGCAGCTTTGCAAGGATCCGGAGCCAGCTCCTGGGGCCCACAACCCCCACTTGAAGAGGAGCTTGGGCCTCCCTCTGCCTGCCCGTGGAAGGAGCTTTGCCGCAGCTGTCCGAGTCAATCTGTCCATCCCCTCCTGCCTGCCCCTCTGCCGGTGGCTCTAGGAATGGAGGTCCAGCAGGAACTGAAGGAAAGGAGGCAAGGGGACCCTTTGCTCCATGGCACTGTGACAGACTCGTCTGGGAACTGTGGGTGGACTGGAAGGACACTGTCACCTGTGTTTTGGTAGAAGTGCTGTGGGACCCTGAGGTTCCAGAACCCCTGCCCAGGGAGATCGCCGTCTCAGCACGTGGGGGATGCTGGGTTGGAGGGGGCTTGGGGAAAGCTAGGATTGGGACCGGCGGTGCCATGGTAAGGGTTTCCAATAGGGGGACCCTTCTTGTTGGATGAGATTGAAGGTCATCTTTTCTACCCCTCTGCCTCAGTTTAGGGAAGTTTTGGGGCGGCATTAGAGCCCCCCGTTTTAGTCTTTGTCAATCATCCTGCACTGAAGGCACAGCCCCTTGGTTCCCTTGATCGGCTTGGTTCAAGGGAAGGAGTGGGATGCTGCAGGGGCTGAGATTTGGGAGCCTGGGCGGCTGCCTTCCCTGCTGGGCCCCGAGCCCTTTCGCATGCCAGGGAGGCCTCTGGAGGCCGCAGGCTGGCTGGTCTGTCTTTATAGAAGCACATTTCCGCCACCTCCCCAAGGCGCGGCAGCATGCCTTCCTCTTCACCTGGTCCCTGCGGGGTAGGGCGTAGTCCAGGTAGCCGGCAGACTTAGTGTTCCCACTGGGGCCTGTTCCTAGCTCCGGCCAGTCTTTTACGGGGTGGAGAGGAGACCCGAGGACTTTCCAGGAGCTCGTCTCCTGGCTGGCTGGGCCCTGCTGGTAGCCGCTGCTCCTCCTCCTCCCCTTCCTTCCTCTTGCTGTAGGGTCGTAGTTGAGCTGCCCGCTGTACTCAGCGTTCTGATTACTTGCCCTTGGTACTGATTTTCTTTATAAGGCACTCCTGAGGGTGGCCGAGCCTTGCCGACAGGGCCTGGGCGCCATCAGGGCCCATTTTCCACTGGGAACACCTGAGCTGTTCGGTTCCACCGAGAATTGCTTCCACGTGGAACTCTCGGTCCCCCAGCCTGGTTAGGCCCAGGGTGTCCTTTAAAATTCTGGTTGCGTTCCCTCGCCTCCATGGAACTTCTTAGTTGCACGGCAAGAAGCGCGGGAGATGCTCCTCTTGTCCACGAGGCCTTCAGAACCTCTCAGGATCGTGCAGGGGTGAATCCTGAGGCTGGGGCCCGAGGGAGCAGGGCTCGGTGGGCTCCCATCCAAGGCCCACCAGCAGCCCCTCCCCCATTTTTTTTAAACATTGTGATTTCTCTGATGTTTGTTTATTATACACCATTTGAAATGTTTTGAGCCAGGAGAGGAGAGAGGGCTTCTCTTTCTGTCCATCATTGCTGTGGTTTGTTCAGGGGCCACTTTTCAAGGATGGGGCAGAGCCTGGCTGTCCCAAGCAGAGGGGGAGGGAGCTCATGCTGACTTGTCCTCCCCCCTCCATCTGAGCCCTCCCTTGGGTGTCTGCAGAGCCTTGGGGTGGGGGGAGGAGAGAGAGAGAGAGAGAGAGAGAGAGAGCTCTCCAAAGCAATAATTACCCCCTGGGGTGGTCAGCGAGGCCCCCCCAATGATTTTCTTGTTTGTTCTGTGAAATCTCACTCACCTCCTGGAGGGGTGGGGTGGGGGCTGGAGCCCTGTTTCTTTGTATCATCATCGTGAGCACGTGCCCTCCTACGAGGGGCTGTGACCATTGGGTATGGGAACCATCGTCTGTCCTCGCCAAAGGAGGGGGGTTGGGGAGGGGGAGTGATTATTTTCATCATTAGCTTTGGGCAGCCTTCAAGCCCAGCCTGTCCCCGCTGCTGTCTGATCCTTTGCCAACTCAGACTCCACCATTTGGATAGGAGCAGAAAGGGTGGAGTTGGGGGGCCTTTCTAGCGCTGGGGTCTCTAGGGGACAATTCTTTTCTCCATCTCTGGGCAGAGGTCACATTCAGGGGTGCCATGGGAGGGTGTCATCTCCACCGTCCTTGTCCAGATGCCTTTGCATACTAAGGGAAAGGGCTTTGGGGACCTTTAGTCCATTTCCACTTTATAGATGACATCTAGCCTGGCACAGGAGGAGCCACCCCGGGGTCACCTGGGCACTCAGTGGCACCCTGAGCCTGGGCTTCCTCCTCCCAACTGGCTGAGCTGGAGCCATACCAGGATGAAGGGGCTGCCACTTGCCACACTCCCTTTCCCTCTCCTCAGAGCCTCCTAATGGTCCGCAAATAGGGGCAGGACAAATTATAATCCTACAAAAGCCTAGGCAGCTGAAGCCCAGCAGTGGGAACGACTTGCCCAGGACCCGCTGCAAGTCAGCGGCTGGGGCGGAAGAGGGCTCCTTCAGGCTTCCTTCCTGCACCAGGAGACGGTCGTGCCAGGGCAGGTGCCAGGACCATATTCCAGCTCAGCCCCGGGCTGCACACCCCTGCTCTGCTCCACCTACTGGGCCAGTGTCTTTTCTGGGTTTCGGGGAGAGGGTTGCCAGGGGACCGAGGCTTCCCAGCAGGCTGCCCAGCTGACCGAGGGCCTGCAGGATTTGACCAGGCTTGGATGTGTGGGTGGGGCTTCTGTCCAGGGCCATAGCTCTCCAGGCCTGGCTGGAGGGAGAGTTAGAAACACCAGCTTCAGCCAGGGCACAGGGAGTGCGCAGAGGCACCCACCCTCTGGGGACTTCCCCGCTCTCCTTCACCTGTGCCAGGCCTGCCTCCTCTAGTGCTCTCCACACTTGCAGGTTCATACCCTTGACCCCCACAGGAGCCCTGGGTAGTAGGTGGAGGGCAGCCTGTGTTGTGGACTCCATCAAGAGGGCAAGGTGAGAGGAGAGTGCTTGGGGAAGGTCCCGCTGGGAGGGAGTGGCTGAGCCCTGACCAGCATCTCTAAGCTCACTCTTCCCCAGGAGGTCAGCTGGAAGTTCAGGGGACGGCTGTCCACTCTACAGCCTGATTCGCCACCCAGTTCCTTAGGCCAGGAGCCCCGGGGGTGCTTCAGTGTTCGGAACCCCACGAGCTCCACTCCTTTCAGAGGCACAGCTGTTGCATCAGGCAAGGTCACCTGCATTTATTTATTGAGCAGCAGTGCTGTGCTGGGCCAAGGGGACCGACCCCCTCCCTCCCCCTGTACCAGCTCCCCTGCCCTCTGGGAGGGCCCATGTCCGTAGAGCAGCACCTCAGAGGACGAAAGTGTTTGAGCCCCAGAGCTCACCTGACGAGGCCCGAGGGCTGGGCTCATGCCCATTTCACCCAAAGCGTCTGTGAGGGCCGAGTGGAGGCCGGAATGGGGGCAAAGGTGTCACCTCTGAGCCCTTTGATGCTACAGCTGCCTCCTATAGGGGGTGGTGGGTTAACGGGACCCTGGGTCCTCAGGCTGGGGGCCCTCCCACCCACCTTTTCCTTATGCCCTCTCCAGGAGCAGGACCGCCCAGACCTTTGGGGAGGGAGGGTTTCTGGGGCCCCTGGGTTGGAGTGGGTCACATTGCATTGTGTTCATGACCATGTAGCTCATGTTAACATTAAAGTTTTTGGCTTTTCTAACTGGGCTTGTTCTTGGTTTGTGTTGAGGTGGTTCTTTCTGGAGGGATAAAGGTTCTAAGGGTCTTAATGCTGTGGGATGCCAGGATGCCCCGCCAGGGTCTTTGTTAATCCCCTAATGGGGGCGAGACCTGTCTGGGAAAGCCCTGCTGGAGACGAACAGGAGGGAGCAGGGTTCTAAATGCACCCAATTGTCTTACTGATGTGGAAACTGAAGCCCAAGGAAAGAATGAGATTCCCAAAGTCACAATGCTGGTGATCCGCAGGACCCCAAATAAAGTTCATCCCACAGCACTGGGCTGCCTCCTAGGGGCGGGGTCCTAGTGACATAGGGGCTGTCAGCAAGATCTCCTTCATCTGGGAGTGGGGTTGGCTAAGGACAAAGGATCAGCTTTATGCAGTGGGGGTGGTGGTTCAAACGTGGGTAATTCTGTACAGGCTGGGTGAACAGAAAGAAGTCATTTAAATGTGCAAAAAATGGCTGCTGGGGAGCTTTCCTTCCGTGCATCTGTTCTCCATGCTTCTAGCTTGAGCACCTGGCTTCCCCATAGGGTTCCAGTGCTGAAAGTTGTACATTTCCCTGCCGCACATGACACCACCTCTTCACAAAACACATAGCCACAAGTCTCCCCTCTGAAGGGCCAGCAGGTAAGGTGGTCCTATGCAAGGGCTCTCCCAGGTGCTGATGTGGCCAGGCCTTCCTGCAGCAATGTGGACTAGGATTTGCACCTACCGAGTGCCTACAGTCTAGCTTGTGCTTATGATGCAGCATAACGCATTTTTGAGGGGCTGGAAGAGATGAGCATCAGAAGGTAGTGAGGAGCCACTCCTTGCAGAAGACAGCCTCAAGGCCTTGGCTCCTCTCCAAGCCCCGGGGGTGGGTGCGCTGGGAGATGCTCCAGATGCTCCCAACCAGGTTTGACCCCGCCTGGCCAGGGCTGTCAGATGGACCGGGCCCGGGGCCTGTCTGCCTTGCTGCCGCGCACGGCCACAGGGCTCGAGGGGGGCGAGAAGCCCAGATTGTCGCGGGCGCACCTCTCCAGCTGCCGGATGCGGCGGCAGGAGCCGCAGATGGAGCCCCCGGCGGCTCGGCGGGGCCGCGCGTGGCTCTCGGGCGCCGCCCGGTGAAGCGAGCCGGCCAGGCGGGCAGCGCGCTGGGGCCCCTCCGCGCTGGCGGCCAGGAAGCGCAGGACGACGAGGTTGAGAAAGGCGCCGATGACCGTGAGCCCCAGCAGGATGTAGAGGAAGCTGAAGGCCACGTAGGGCGGCTTCCTCTGCAGGGCCTCCTCGCTCTGCAGCGCCACGAAGTCCCCGAAGCCGATGGTGGTGAGGGTGATGAAGCAGTAGTAGTAGGCGTGGAAGAAGGACCAGCCCTCGAAGTGCGAGAAGGTGGCGGCCCCGAGCGCCAGGGTGGCGGCGCACGCCAGCAGCCCGGCCACCACCATGTTCTCGGTGGACACGTGGGGCCGTCGTAGGCCCAGGCAGCGCTTGGCCCCCAGCAGGAGGCACCGCACCAGCGCATTCAGCCGCTCGCCCAGGCTCTGGAAGGTGACCAGCGTCAGGGGGATGCCCAGGAGGGCGTAGAACATGCAGAAGACCTTGCCCGAGTCCGTGCCTGGCGCCACGTGGCCATACCCTGTGCCGGGAGAGCGGAGGGAGGGTGGTGAGAGCCCGGCTCTGTCTACCAACACCCTCAACACCCTTGGTGGCAGCCTGCCCCTGGGTGTCCCCCATCCCAGAGCCCGCTGAGCATCTTCAAATGCCAGACCTAACCAGGCCATTCCCTGGCTTTATGACCTTGAGTGGTTAGTCCTAATCTCCCCAGACTAAACAACCCAAATATCCCTCCATTAAGGAATGGATAACAACCTGTCGCACATCCCAGCAAGAGAGAGACCCACCTGACTTTGCCTGGTTTATGGAGTCTTGAAAACTATTGCTTCTCTATTGTGGCAGTGAAAGGAACAACCGACTGTTGCTTGCAACCACAAAAGCTGGATCTCAAACCAAAAGGTGGAATGTGCCACATGTTCCACTGAAAGACATTCTGGGATTAACACAGCTATGGGGACAGAGAACAGATCCGTGGTTGCCAGTTTCTGGGGTTGGAAGAGGGGTTAAGTACAGAACTTAACAGGAGTTAAGTACAGAGCAGCCAGAGGCCGAGGGAATGGTTCAACGCTCTGAGAATCGCCGTTTCACTATGTGTAAGTGTACCTCGGACACAAAACCAAACCAAGCCAGGCAAAGGCTTCTAGCGTCCACCGGTAAAGTCCCAGCCTCACGAGGCATCCCAGCTCCTTCCTGATCGGGCGCCTCTCTCCAGCCACACCCCTTCTCTGGCACCCCACTCTCTGCCTATGCCTTGTTTCCCTGCCAGCAGAACCCACCCCCACAGGCTGCTTCTCATGGCTTCTCCCTGCTGGATGGCCTTTTCTCCTCTCCCCCAGTCCATTCCTCCCTTTCCAAATTTCACCTCTGCCTCTGCCATTGGCCAGCCCTCACTAAATGCCTCTTGATTCTGTTTGGATCTGGTGTAGGGATTTCTTCACTGTACCCCTCACTCTTATAGGGGATCAAGACATGAGAGGACTTCCTTGAATCTTGCATCAGGATACCATTAATGCAGAATAGGGGATGCCTCTTTCTGGAGAGAGAAGCAATAGTTTTCAAGGGTCCATAAACCAGGAGAAGTCAGGTGGGTCTCTCCAACAGAATATGCCTCTTCCAGCAGATCCGTGCCACTGGCCAGAATGTAAAATACACAAGCCTTCCGGTCTAGGTAGGTAGTTTCACAGTTAGGAAGTTAGCCCTCACATGTGGGCAACATGACATATGCTCTGGGTAGTCACTGTAGCATTTTCAGTCCTAGCAAAAATTAGGAACAACCTAGGTGTCCATCAATAGGGGCTTGGCTACATACATCATGGTGCCATCTGAAAGATGGAGTACCACACAGTAGTGGTTCTCAGCCCAGAGTGCTTTTCCCCTGAAGGGACATTTGGTGATATCTAGAGACATTTTTGTCACAACTAGGGGGAAGGGGAGGGTGACTGTGTTCTTGGCTCTCCAGGATAGAGACCACAAATACTAATATCTTGCAATGCACAGGACACCTCCACAACAGAACCACCAGGCCAAGATGTCAGTTGATCAGAGAGTGAGATGCCCTGCTAACTGCAATGAAAAGATGACCCAGCTCTTTAGGGACTATTATTAAAAAAAATCACCAAAATATATTAAGTGAAAAAAACAGAGACAAAATTATGTGTATGATATAATGTCCCTATGACGTGTGTTATGTTCAAAGGAATACATTGGCAGAGAATACAGACTGAAGGATACACAAGAAAGTGGTGACTCTATCTGA